GCGCCGCCCCCGGCGTCTACCTGAACAGCTGGGCCGCCAGGGTGCCCGGGGGCGCCGCCACGGCCGAGCTGCTGGCCCGCAAGCACGGCCTGCTCTTCCTGGGGCAGGTGAGGGCCGCCCTGGGGCAGCGGGCATGGTGCCCGGGGTCTTCGGGGAGGGGGCAGTCCTTGCGCGCCCCCCTCCCAGCAGCAGCTGCCCCAAAACACTTCTCTGCTCCCTGCCCCATCCAAGGAGCCGCTCCCTTGCGCGGCCTTAGCCGTCCCTTTCCGCGCACGCGCGTGGCGGTGCGGTTACGCCGGGTGGGGGGCAAGGAGGGAGACGTCTGCCCACCAGCTACAAGCAGCCCAAAGTCTGCTTTTCCAGGTGGCAAACCTCCCGCCGAGCGCGGGCTCGCCTCTGTCTTGCCCTCCTCGGGTGGCAGGTAACGAGGGGCCGAGGTGAATGTGAGAATTGCCATTTGCCGGGTTCACCCCCAGGTCCATCTTGTCCGGGCCCCGGGGTCGCCTGGGGGAGAGCGAATGCTGCAAGGGGGAGTGAGCCCCCAGGACCAGGGTTAGTTTTATCCCCACTTTGTTCCTCTCCCACTTGCAGCCTCCAGCATTTAAGGCCCAGAAGTCCCAAGTCAGGGCAGCGGCTGTATCTCTAATGCGCTTCCAACGGCATGTGATGGCCATTACAGATGAACCTCTGGGCCGCGAGAGCAATGCCCTACACCGGGCTAATTAGGAGATTCTGATGCAGCCGTGATGCATTGGGCTCTCGACAACGGGTTCTTTCTCCCCCACAAACCCATCATCTTACTCTGCCATTTTCCTTCCATTACTCCCCTCCTTTTCTCTAACGAATCTTTGTCTAAGAAGCCTTTACTAGGAGACGGTTTTTATTTGGCAGTTCAGCATCACCATCCTGCTGCAACACAAGTTAATGGCTTTAAGTGGTCTCCAGCATCCCCAGTGTCTAATGGCATTGACAGGAGATGCTTTTTACAGTTCATGTATCTTTAAAAAGAGGATCCATATAACGAGGCCGTAATAAAATAATCCGAGCGTCTGGCACCAAATCTGCACTAATGCTGTCGCTAGAGGATTAGCAGCAGAGGAAAAGGCAAAGGAGAGGGCTGAGATGTATTGTAAAGAGAGCTGCATTGCCTTCTCGTTTTGAATGGCCCGCAGGTGCTTCCCTAGTGTGTGCCACAACTCAGTCGGGATCCAGTTCACCCTCTCCAGCTATGTAATCAGGTCTGCGGCTGCCACCAGAGTCACTCACCTCTCCTATTCTCACCGTTGTACCAAGGCAAGCCATGCCACCGACAGACCTCCCACCTTTCCTGAGAATTTTAAAACGCCAGACACAAATGTGGAACGAAAAGGGAATTGTGCACTCCTGCCTTTGCACTCTTGTTGTTCGTGTTAACGGAGATCTGGCCGGCCGGGAGCTTGCGGCCTCAGAGCATGCCAGTTGGTGCACAGGACTATTGCTATGTAGACCCATACAAGCTTATTATTGGAGGCAGCTTGGGATTGTCACCTTTGTTCAGAGATTTATTAAGCCTTATTCCCGCAGGTCATCGAAGGGGAGCCCTATTACCATTTAAAGCACCGAGGCCTGGTGCAGAAATCCCTGAACAGACACTGGGGCTGGCACGTGCGTCTGAAAAGGGAGCCCAAGGTGAATAAAATCTCACTTCTTCTTGCTAGGCTGGTGGGGGCCAAGCTTTTGGTAGCCCTGCCCCATCCCCAGCTTCCGCGGATCTGCTTTCCCTTCCCGCTCTGCTTTCTGCTCCCTGCCCTGCCTGCCACTGTGCCGCTTGTCCGCTCCCCAGTCCGCTGCGTACCACGCACACAGGCTGCCCGTGCCACTTGTACCCGTGCCTCCGGTTGGCCACCCTTGTGCTAGGCTATTTGCTAATGGCCTTTTGCCTAGCCTACAGGCCCTAAAACGTCAGCCAGGAGGTCCTGCCTGCAGCACACAGCTTGTGGTGGAGGTTCAGCCTGGCCCCTTTCCTCCCACCCGGGTCAGAGCTGCCCAGTTATGCCTGTGCGAGCTACCATGCAGGCACAGTTTGGACGGCATCGCAAAGCCGGCAGCCAACACATGTAACCATCAGCCAAGGGGAACCAGAAGGGATGGTGCAGCATGAACCCGTCCCCTGCACGTGGGTGGGGAAGTGCTCTCCTTTCAGCATGCCTGGGGGTCAGACCTGATGCACGAGGACAGAGCAAACCGCCCCTGTTTCCCAAGAATCGGTCTCCTAAAGGCAACGCTTGGATGCATTTGCTGCGGATGCCCTGGCTTCTTTGATGCCTTGTCCTTCAAAAGGCCAGCAGACCTAACTGGGAGAGGAAGTGATGGGCAGTCCTTTTCTGCGGGCTGAGGCGTGCGGGCTCTTACGGTTCTTTTACACGGATCCTGGAAACGCAGCCCCCGGGTATACACCAGCTCTTCCACCAAGCACATAAAGCATGTGGTAAATACGTGGTGAGGGATGGCATCTGCCGTGCAGGAACGTGCAGATTTGGCATTAAGGGCTGACTGCTTCCGTCTTAGGTGCGCTGGTTTGAGCAGCAGACTCTGAAGAGGCGAGCAAGAAGGACGGTCACGGTGGTGCCAACAGATCCCTGGTTTCATCAGCAGTGGTACATGGTAAGGCTTTGCCCACTCTGCTGCCTCCCCTGCCCCAGCCCCTTCCGGCTCTGCCGCTGTGGTCGGAGGAAGCACGTGCTAGTGGTGAGAGTGGCCTACGGGGCGCCAGGGCTCCTGGTTTCCATCCTCCGCTCTGCTTCTGGCTGGATGTGGGGCTCCCTGTTCTCCCCAGCTCTCAAGCGCAATGCCAGCCAGAAGCAGCTGCTTTGAGGAGCGGAGAAGGCTGGCCTCATAGATCCACCTGGCTCTCGTTGCAGAATAACGATGTGAATCCAGACCTGAACATCCTCGCGGCCTGGAGCAAAGGCTACACGGGTGCAGGGGTGGTGGTCTCCATCCTGGATGATGGCATCGAAAAGGACCACCCCGACCTCTCTGCTAACTACGTACGAGCAGCCTGGCGCCACCGGTGCCTTTCACGGCTGGGTGGTTTGGGATCCAGCGGCAGCCAGCTCTTCCTTTACCAAGGCAGAGACTGGGAGCTGGAACTGGTCAGGGCCCCATGTCCTTGTCATGGTGGGGAGCCCTTACTGGCCCTTCCAGTATGGCGTGGATGGGTCAGGAGACCGAGTCTCTTCCCACCAAACCCTCCCAGCAGGGAAGGGGGTGATCGTGTCCTGGCCCTTTTCAAAGGCGACACAGCGAGAGTCGATTAAAGGAAGCTGTAAAACCAGTAAACACCAGATCCCTCCACGTGCACATAAGTCTCCCCAGGCACGAGGGGTGTGGGGCAATGGTTAAAGCACTGGGCTGGGCCTCCAGTGACCTGGCTTCAGTCCCTGACTCTGCCACAGCTCTGCTAGGCTGGTCTTATTAGTGCCTCAGTTTCCCCATCAGTGAAATGGGGGCGACGACCCTGACCTCTTTTGTAAAGAACCTTGGGAGGCAATGCTGAAGAGTGCTGGTTGAGAGCTGGGAGTGCCTGTCACACCTGGGCTAAACAGAGTAGCACCCGTTTAACCGGTGTGGGGATTTTTTTTTTATATATATATTTTTTACGCAAAACCCTATACAATTTTTGGTCTTCAGGACACACAGCGGCTTTAGCATTCAAGCTAAGCTGCAGTGACCCAATACAGTAATCTGTAAAGTTGCAAGGCTTCAATTAAACCCTGTTTGTCAAACCGATGTGCCGTTTAGCCCAGTGCGAGGCATTGCAGATGAGGCCTCAGCGCCCCGGTTGGATTGTAAGAGCCAAGTGCTCATCTGCGTATTGCTAGGACGGCAGGACCCAGAGGACTCCACTTAGGGGAAGAAGCCAAAAATTTATGGCTCAAGGCTCTGCTTTCCTGCCTTCAAAGCCAGGGTATGGTTTTGCATGGGAGGGCAGAGCTGCAGAAACAATCTCTGTAAAGAGCTGCCAAAGTCTGGAGTGCCGCCTGGAGAAAGATTTTTGTCTCTTTAATGGCTCTATTTTGGGCAAGGGTGTGTAGAGCAGTGATTCCCAAATGAGGATCGCAAAGTCCCCCAGATGAACTCCGAGATTTCGGTAGTGATCCAGGACATCCAAACTGTTCTGACTTGCCGGGGGCTTCCCGGCTTCTTTCCAATGGCGCTGGTGGTTTTCCGAAATGCGAGTGAAAACGCGGAGCTGACGTTTTCCCGGGGGCCCTTGAGCCTAGCGAGGTTGCGAAGCATGGTGTAGAGAGAGCGCAGCGCACAGGGTAGTGCCGACGGGCTTCTCACCCCGGCATTGCCTTTTGCTGCAGGATCCCTTCGCAAGTTATGACTTCAACGCTAACGACCCCGACCCGCAGCCGCGTTACAACAGCTGGGATGAGAACCGGTGAGTGCTCCAGACGTGCCGCTGCGACACCTGGCCTCCTCGCACTAGTGGTTGCACTAGTGAACATATCTCTGTGGGTCAAGCTAAGCTCTTGGGTCCGTTTCCCAAGGCGGGCTAGGAGGCTGCACTGGGGGCAGGAGAGGTGGAGAGAATTTGCTCCCTTTGCAATGGCGGAGTCACGTTAGGGGTTGTGAGCGCGTGCGTACTCCCTTCCCAGGGGGTCCTCTCCGGTATCGTTCACCCCCAGCTGACTCAAGTGGAGGGTCCTGATCCTGCTTTAAGCAAGGCTGGGCCATAAAACAGGCTGGGCGGGCGCTGTGTGGCTTCAAAGGCCTCGGCTCACAAACCCAGTCGTGCCGGAGCGCGAGGCGCAGCGAGACTGCTCTCGACAGACTTGGGGGCCGAGGACCCTGGGGTCCCACAGCCTCCACAGAGGGGCGTGGGGTGAGGGAAGCAGTGGGGTCCGTTGTCTAAGCCAACGCAAGGATGAGCAACCCCGACATGCCGGAGAACAGTTGTTGCCTCCTTGAGTTGTGCTGGAGCGAGAGGCAGCACCGAGGGCATCCTGAGCGCGGTGGCATCTCCTGGCTCTGCCCAACAGGCACGGGACACGCTGCGCAGGAGAGGTGGCGGCTCTGGCCAACAACGGGATCTGCGGCGCAGGTGTCGCCCACAATGCGCGGATCGGAGGTGAGCGGCTTGCACCCCCGGAGCCAGGCTTCTCAGGATGCGGGGAGGGTCCAGGAGGCAGCCCAAGAGTTGGCCCGACTGGCCTGCATGGGCTTGGGCTTCGGGGCCCTTACAACTCCCTGCCAGCCACCGAGGGGAGGAGCGGCAGGTGCTTGACTCCATGGGAAGTCTGTTCCCACCTAGCAAAGGCAGCATCCCTGCAAGCCGGCCCTGCTCGAGCAACTGCCTGTGGGTGGAGGCCGAGGCCGCGAGAGGGCACTGGTGCCGGGCTGCCACATGCCTGGAGTAGCGACATCCCTTTCGGGGCCGCGGGAGCTGCATTTCTCCAGGAGCCACACTGCACGGTGCCGTCCTTGCAGGCTGAGGACCTGCAGCCACGTGGCTCCGTGCTTCTTAAGGGCAAACACGGTTCGGAGGCAACAACAGGCTGGTTTAGCTCCTGGGAGGTTGGCAGGGGGCTCGCCCTCTGCTACCAGTGAGGAGGCACTTCTAGGAGGCTCTGCCACAAGCAGGCTGCTGTGATGGGGCTGTTTTCAGGGCTCCTGCCCCAAATCCTCATGGGGGAGTGCAAAGCTTTTGTTGTGAACCCATAGCGGGGCAGCACCGATGAGCCCGGTGTCCTTCCTCTGTGTCCTTCCAGGCGTGAGGATGCTGGACGGCCCCATCACGGACATCGTGGAGGCCCAGTCCCTGAGCCTGCGGCCCCAGCACATCCACATCTACAGTGCCAGCTGGGGCCCGGAGGATGACGGCAAGACCGTGGACGGGCCAGGGGTGCTGGCCATGGAAGCCTTCTACAAGGGGATAGTGAACGTAAGCACGGCCTCTGGGCTGGGGCTGCAGGAGCCCGTGGGGAAGGCTGCCCCGTTGCAGCAAGGGGTGGGGGGCAGCTCCGTGGAGGGAGTGACCCCCCCACACACTATGAGTGACCCACCTGCCCCCCTCCCACCAGGGCCGGGGTGGCCTGGGCTCCGTGTTCGTCTGGGCCTCGGGGAACGGCGGCCTGCGCTACGACAACTGCAACTGCGACGGCTACACCAACAGCATCTACACGCTGTCTGTGGGCAGCGCCACCGAGAGTGGCAGGGTGCCCTGGTACAGCGAGGCCTGCGCCTCCACCCTCACTGCCACGTACAGCAGCGGTGCCCGGCAGGACCGCCAGATAGTGAGCCCCTTGCCCCTCCTCCTCGCCCCTCTGCCGCAGCCTCGCACCCGGGGCGTCTCTGCACCCCCGTGCCCGCCCAGCGCCCTAACCCGCATCTGCCTCCGCAGGTGACCACAGACCTGCACCACCGCTGCACCAACAGGCACACGGGCACCTCGGCCTCCGCGCCGCTCGCGGCCGGGATGATCGCGCTCGCGCTGGAAGCCAAGTGAGTGGCCAGATGCAAAGTGCTTGCATGCCCCTGTTAATTGCCCTCTGCCATGCGGTGGGGTCCCTTTGCTGGTTTGTCTGCTGAGACAGCTGAGGACCAAGCGCTGGAGACCAGGCGTAGACCCCCCCCCCCCCCCC